AAAAAAAAACAAAAACACAAACCAACTTGACGTGGGAAAAAATCCATAGTGAGGTGGAAACAGTAAACTGTGTCATCAGATCCTGCCTTCTGTCTGCTCACTGAGGCGTGGAGGGATGAAGGGATGAAGGGATGGGTCTCTCACTGAATGTCACTGGGAGAAGGCCTTAACGTACGTGTGTCTGTCTGTCTGTCTGTCTGTCTGCGAAGGATGCAGGATGGAAAGAAATCAGAGACAGAAAAGAAAAAAAACCCCAGAATTCATATACTATTCTCGCCAGAGGGTGTTTTAGTGGATTGTTAGTTGTTGTTTCTTTGTCTTGCACCTCTCAGACACACGCACACACGCACAAACCTGCTGCATTTCCTCCATGGTCGGGATAATACACCATTCTATCGTTTACAATTGGTCGCTTTTAAGGACAAGCGGCCTAACCCAAATTTCGGGAGAAGTTTGGTTTCATTTGTGTGTATATTTTGTTTGGTTATAGAAAAAACTCTCCGTGTCTTTTAAAGAAACTGAACAAGGGCAAAAACTTGCCCCTCAGCATTTTTCGGGATAGCCCCCTTGTGCTTAAAAGCGAACATTTTTTAGATCAACTTTTTATCGTTGGAGAGCGTACACAATGCCGGAACACACCAATGGACGAACAAGAGGGTAAATTGTAGGCCTTTTTCTTTCTCTCTGTCTGTCTGTCAGTCTCTCTCTCTCTCTCTCTCTCTCTCTCTCTCTCTCTCTCTCTCTCTCTCTCTCTCTCTCTCTCTCTCTCTCTCTCTTTCTCTTTCTCCCCCCCCCCCACCTCTCTCTCTTTCGTTTACTTTCTCCCCGTGTCTGTGGTGTAGCACTGAGGCACTTTGATCCGCACACAGGTAATACTAAAAACAAAAACAGACATATTCAAAGATGCATTTAAATATACATTCACATAATGCCTCTTGTATTTTTGGCAATGACATGACAATTCCTATATGCATATGAAGGCAATATTATTACTTCTTTTTTTTCCAAAGATGCGAGGATTCAAACGCAGACCCTCCCGTACTAAAGAAACACAAACTGTGTGGTCAATGCACCGCTCCATCAATCCTCAAACTCCCCGAGTTCTGGCTCCTGGCCCTGTACTGGAGCTGTGGCACAGTCACCTCCTCTCTGAGCCCGGTATTCCTCCCTCCTCTGGTCGTGGAGAAAGGCTTCAGTCAGAGCGACGGGGCCTTCCTGCTCAGCCTATCGGCTCTAGCTGATATCTGTGGCAGATTAGGATCTGGTAGGACTTGATAGAAATCATTGCATTGGTCGTTATCGTGATGGTTTTCCTCTTTTCTGCTTCCATACCTTCCCCCAACCCCCTCCTCCTTCGTCTTCGTCCTCCTAGTTCTCCTTGGAGACACATGTTTTTTTGTTTTTTTAACTCTCCACCTCTTTACTCTCTCATCCCCTCATTCTCCTACTACCTTCTCGTCCTCCTCCTAACTATTCTCTCTTCTTTTTCTCGTCATCCTAATCCTCTTACATTGTCTTTCTCTTTCTTCTACTTTCTACTACTCCATCTCCTTTTTTTTTGTCTTTTCGTCTTCGTCCTAATTATTCTCCTACTTTTTTGTCGTCTTCTTAAGCCTCATCCCTCGTCTTTCTCGCCCTCGCCCTACTCGTCGTCGTCACCGCCTTTATCTTCCTTAAGCTTCTCCTTTGATTGTCAATTTATATCCTTTTCAACACAGCGATGTTATTTCACAGATACCCCCCCCCCCTTTTTTTGGAGTTCCTTTTCAACATGGCAGAGAAAAGGGGTTGGAGAAATATTCAAACTTCTCAAACAATCCAAATCCAGGAATGCTTGTTGGAGATTCGATCCGGAGTCTGACGGGCCCCAATCCTGCCTGGTGGCCAAACTGGCAACGCATTTATCCTTAAGCGCTGTGAAAATACGGTCGAACCTGTGCTCACGGTCACTTGTCCAAGACAATCGCCTGTACAAACAACCACCCCCCC